ATATGAGGCAACAAAGGTGGATTGAATTACTTAGTGATTATGATTGTACGATCAGGGTGATCGTGAATTGTTGTAGCTGAAGCACTTGATGAGAAGACTCCAGTAAGAATTAATGCTTGGTACGCTTGCCAAGATTATCTTCTTGTGGATTGGAAATCAACTGAAGTAAAGTTGAGAATTGGAGATTGAGAAGAAGCTCTACTTGCTAATTTTAAAGTTAGGCATTTTTGGTAAGGTCGTACTCGAGACTCAAATGCTTGACGAAGAAATTTAAGAATTAACCAAGGCAGAGAAAGAAGGGAAAAAGAATGAGTACATGATTCGTGAATCAAATGGTATGTGGATACAAGAAAACAAAAAGTATGTGCCTAATGCTGAGGATTTGAAGCAAGCAAATATTGGACGAAGTTCACTGTTCAACTTCTGCAATATTCCAAAAGTAATAAGATTTATCATACCATTCGACAGTTTTATTTGGTCAGCAGATTGAGGCAGAAAGAGATAAACCTTTGGATTGAGATAATTATTTTATGTTTCGCAGTGGAAATGGAAAGATATTACTTTGGATTATGTGTACAAGCTTCCTTGTACACAAGATGGTTATGATCGAATTTGAAGTGATAGTTGGTCAATGTACCAAGTTAGTACAATTACTCCAGTGCTGAGTAATAACTTTTTCCCAGACAGGGCAACGGTACTTAATGTATTTTGTGTTCGATGCGTTGTCGCTAGGTGGCAGAGTCGTCACATGAGATTCTGGTGCAACTATTGAGAATTAAATTGGATTCGACTTGTTAAGGAACCAAGGACGACTTTGGATTGGAAAAAAAAGAAGGTCCTGAGAATTAAGACAAAGTAAGTGGTAAAAGCTTTGTAAAGGAAATCATTCAGTAGAAAATTATGTGGGAGAAAGAGAATCGGATGAGAGAGATTTACCCGAAGCTATTGTTGGAGTATGGTTGATTTAGTTGGTAGCTGGAATTTCGGGGACGAAATTCTATAAGGAGGGGAGATTGTCACAGCCCGTTCCAAAATATTACATTCGTGGCTGTGAATGGACGAAATTGCCCTTAAGAAATACTAAGTATGTGAAGCTCAAGTTGATAATTATCTAGGTTCCTAAGTTTTGAAAATAAAATGGAATTTAATAAGGATGGAACTTAGATTTTTAGGTTAAAATTTTGTGGTTTAGAGTTGGGGATTGGAAAAGGACCACGTGGGATCCCCATTCCTTATTTCCCTCCCCATTTCCCGTATACTGTCCTTCATACTCTCTTTCTCTTCCTCAGACCTCACTCTCTCTCTCTCTCTCACCCTCTCGAACACACGGGCAACCATCAAAACCACCTAAAACTATTACCAACGCCGGATTTAAAACCACCATTGCACTCCTGAGGACTCCACGATCACGTAGGTACCAGTTTAAGGTAAGTTTCACTTCGAAAACCCTAGTTTCTAAAGTTGCCGTGAATGTGTACTGTTCATGAGCTTTGAATTGGTTGATTTTTAGGACAATCCAAGCTCATAGTGAGCTTAGTGAGGTCCCAAGGAAGCTCGGAGTGCTTCGTTGGAAGGATTTGGACGTCGGGATCACGAGGGTTAAGTTTGGCCGGTTTTGCTTGGATTTTTCCGGTGAGATTTAGTTGTTTTTGAAGCTTAAAAGTAGTATATTGTGATTCTACATGTTGAGGGCTTTAAATTGATATATTATACGAAGAAAATGGTTGAGAAACGAAGGAGAACGAAGCATTTGAAAATTACCCAGTTTCCGGCGACCTCCGAGGCTTTCGAGGCAGTTTCCGGCCAAACCACGGCGAACTAGGTGTTTTGCAAGGTACCATTATCTTTGTCTCTTCAAGGGCTACAACTTTCGTTTTTGAATCACTTGATTTCGTTGAGAAATGACAAAGTTATGGCAATTTGAAAAAACTGCCCAGAAAACGGCCGCCGGAAAAACCAGTCCGGCGACCCAAGGAAGAAGAAGGTGCTACAGTAAAAATAAAAAATAAAAATAAAATTATTTTAAAAATATGTCGACGTCCGTGACGTCGAGTAGATCACTGTGGTATATTCATATACCTAAATTGAACACCGTATGAGAAAGTTATTGAAGATTGTTGGTTAGGTGTTCAAATAACGTTTTATAGTTTTCACATTTAGGTGAAAATGTGAATTGATGATCCGACCGTTGGATCGTCACCAAACTTTGATACGTTGTAATACGTAATATTTGAGGATTATTGAAACTTACGGATTGGGAATCCGAGTTACGGATCTTCCGGAATTGGAATTGTAAGTCCATAATATAAAATGTTAACCGTCACTTAGTTTTGGAAATTGACGGAGATCCGACCGTTGGATGGTAATGAAATTTTAGGATGTTATCCTAGAGATATATTGTGGACCTCTGGAAGTTATGGATTTAAAATCTGAGTGGCAGATCTTCCGGATCGAACTACGTAGTGACGTATTTTATATAAGTTATATATTCTATCGATATGAATTCTGAGAGGTTGGATTTGATTACTATTCTAGGCGGCGATCGTCGTGACGCCTTGATGTGTGGTGCTAGGGAGTTGTTGGACGAACTCCAGGTGAGTGGGCAGTTTTGTTTTCCGTATATATATATATACTTAACGTTTTCCCAGAAATTGAAAATGCATGAAATTATGTTTAAAATGAAATGCATATGAGTTATGTGGAAAAACGGGAAGTGAAATACCATGCATAGAATTGATATGAAAAGTATATAGAAATGTGAGTTGAAATGCCATGCATGAATTGATTTATGATGCATATGTATGAAATGGTGCGGTGGACGCACAGATGAGTATTTAATTACTGTTATGATGATGATGATATATATTGAGCTCAAATCCTGCACCATGGTTTAGTGCTTATAGTATTCACCGCATCGCACGCTCGCCTTGGATCCAAGTAGATGCTAGTCGTACAGTCCACGCGGAGTGGGTACGACAGACCAGTCGCGAGAGTGTTAGTGAGATTCCGACTGGTGGGTGACCTTAGATTATGTGCACAGATGATTTATATGAGAAGCACTAGAGCGTAACTTGTGTGCAGAAGGCCGGACGGGTCACAGAGGTGACTCCGGTAGAGTGATAATGATAGATTTTGAGCTCTAGGTTCAACCGTATAGGGCTATTAGAGGGCCTACGGTTGATTACTTTCTTGCACCTGATATGATTATGTTGATGCATTCATACCTTATTACTGTTGAGATGATGTGGCATGGCATAATTAATATGAGAAATGTTGAGATGACATGGCATGGCATGATTGATAAAGAGATATAATGTTGAGATAGTAAAAATGAAGTTTTGAGAATATATATGTATATTTATATTTTACATTTCTGGGAAAGTATACAGGTTTTACGGAGAGGGGTTACAACGTTTTGAGAAATGTTTGGATTTGGAAAAGAATTGTTTTACTGACCCACTCAATTTTGGTTTTGCGCCCCTCCAGGTTCAGGAATCACAAAGGTGTGGTGACTACGAGGAATTCGACGGTGTTCTGACAGATTGGACAAAATTAGGACTCACCTTCGGGTGTATCAACTTATAAATTGTATCTTAAAGCTTACGTACTGTGCAAATGGTTACGTCACTCTCACGTGACGGCCAGCATGCCCTCCTTCGGGACGGGGTGTGTCAATTATAAATTTCATAAAATATCAAACAATTAATGTCAAAACTATAAAAATAAAAATATTAATAGTAATATAATGAGGTGTACAAAGTCAAGGGACCTTGATGAAACTTTAAATATTATTAAAGTTTTAATCAAAGAATGTTAAGGATTAGAGATCGGATCCAAAATATCCCATTTTAAAATTTATTTATGACGTATGTAATCCCTCTTACACCAATTTACAAAAATTGTGAATTAACATCTTTTTTTAGGCTAAATTATATTTTACCTCATCAGATTTGAGGTTGATTTCAATTCCTTACAATATCTTTAAAACATTTCAATTTCATACATCTATTTATCATTTTATTTCAATTTCATACATATGTTAGAAAATTTGTTAAGTAAAACTGTTAAGTGATGATGTAGCAAATATGTGATCCACATTTGTGCTGACGTGGCTACTACATTTGTGTCACGTGACAAATTTTTTTATTCATTTAAAATATAATAATATTTACCCTATTGAAAAAAAAAAAACCATACAAACCCAAAAACCCCCCGACCCACTTCTCCATCTCCTCCCTCTTCACCTCTCATCCCTTCTCTTTCCCCAGACCCACTCCTCCCTCTTCACCCCCTGACCCCAATGAACTCAACCCACCACCACCCTAGCCCAACCGGAAAAAAAAAAATCACACTCTCTTCTTCCCACCCTAAATCCACCACCATGAACTCGAGCCGAGCTCTCCGACCTCGTGCACCGGAAGCTCAACCATGCAAATGCCTACCATTGTTGTTGCCATTTGAAACTCTGAACATCTTTTGAACCCCCCACCTCTCGATCCATTCATGGTGAAATTTGATAAATTAGGGGTTTCAGCTTGTTGGGGTTTCTGAATTTTTTGTAAAGATGTGAAATTAGTGTTGCTTTTGCTTTGTTTGATGGATTTGGATAAACAAAGCATATTGCCTTCATATTTTGATAAATTGCTTCGTATGGGATTTTTGTTTTTGTTGCTTCATTATGTTTGAGCTGAGGAGGAAGAGGAGTATGACGACGTCGTTGGGTAGTAATGGTGGTGGTTGCTGCTGGGGGTTTGAGGAGGAAGACAGCGGCGGCGGGATGCGGGTGAACTAGAAAAGAAGGTTGAGGGTGATGGTTTGTAAGGGATGGGGGTGAAGAGGGAGGAGTGGGTCTGGGGAGAGAGAAGGGATGGGAGGTGAAGAGGGAGGAGATGGAGAAGTGGGTCGGGGGTTTCTAGGTTCTTATGGCAGCCATGTTAATACAAATGTAGATCCCATATCACTTAACGGTTTATTTAGCAAATTTTTTAACGGATTAATGAAATTGAAATAAAATGATAAGTATATGTATGAAATTGAAATGTTTTAAAAATGTTGTAAGGAATTAAAATCAACATCAAACCTGAGGGGGTAAAATGTAATTTACCCTATACTTTACTTCAACACACGTAAAATTAGGACCTTTGACTTGTTGGGTCTCACCATCCTCCATTGCCGTGCTTGAGTAAAATTACGAATGGATACATTCTTCATTTCTGTCTGGTCAAAAATGCATATGCGTTAATGATCATCGCCGGATCCTTTTCTTAAGGATCCCGTGATCTTACCTGTTCATCGTATATCGTACGGTTAGTTTTCATTAGGTATTATTTGTATTTAATTTTAAAATTTAAATTTTGAAATGATTTCTTACCGCACGATATATGATGAACGAATGAGATCATGGAATCCCTAGGATCTCTAAGAAAATGATCCGGCAATGATCCTTTTCCTTATATATTGAGTTTGGTGTGGACACGTGTCAAATGTCAAAGTGCCTCTCTGGTACATAGCTGACACGTCACCATTTCACTTGTTATTGCCAACTAGCATTGTTATCGGAGATGAAAATTTGAGCTCAGAAGCATAAGAGGAAGCACATCCACTCTAGCTAATGCGGTTAATAGATGGATTGGATGGTAAGCCGGGCCCTTCTTTTGAATAGTTCATTTGAAAGAATTGGAGTTCAATCAAAATTGCAACGGTTAGTAGCATCACTTACCTAATTCATTTCCCTCTTTCAACTTTTTACATGATATTCGAAAAATTTTTACATTTCTATCATGCAAAAATGAGAGTAATCAAAACCTCTTATAAAGAATATAAATATATATACACTCACACACACATATATATACCTATCTTTCCACCGGACGTTTACCACGGGTATCTTGTTCTGGGGCTGCTGCTGAAATGGTTCCGGCTACTGAACTGGTTCCGGCTACTGAACTGGTTCCGGTTGCAGAAAAGCTCGAATCTGAATAACGGGAATTTGATTCACCAGAAGTTCCGGCAGTGGATGAAATCCCTGCTGGCAGGCGAGATCTTCTATATCTTGATCCAGGTACTCCCGGCCTCATTGGCTCTTCCAATTGGCTTGGTTTCTTGGATAGGATCACAACCACACGATGCATTGTGGGGCGGATTGTGGGATCACCTTGTATGCAGAGCAATCCCATCTGAATACACATCGCTACTTGCTCGGGGACTGCTGATGATGCTAATGTCGGGTCCATAAACTCCATGCTTCTCTCCTTCTTGTAAAGCTTGTACGCCTGCAACAACAGTGGACAACGTTTAGGCTTAGCAGTCCCAAAAATCAATCAATTTATCAACCATTCCTTTGATCACGTCACCTACTACATTGACCAAGAACAAAATATTTGGTGACATAAAATTTGACCCAAATGGTGGGCCTAAATCATTGTGATTTATACGGAAGTATCTTCCTGATGCTTGCCATTCAAGAAATGTTCATAGCTCGCCACAGAATTTTCACACCTGGCTCATCAAATGATAGTTTAATCTACAATCTTACCCAATCAAGCAGATTCTGCGCATCAACATTTCCGTTGAACGATGAATTTCTTTGGCCACTAATCAGCTCCAAAACCACAACTCCGAAGCTAAACACGTCCGCCTTCGCTGATAAATGCCCATGCATAACATACTCCGGAGCCATATAACCACTGTTTCAAGCAAATTATAAAGGTCTATGTTAAAATCAAGTAAACAAGGGAGGTCCTGAGTACTTCGACCCCACACACTTGAAATAAAATTCAGGGCACAAGACACCATACTTGGTACCAGCAACGCGGGTATTGACGTGCGTTTCGTCTTCGGGAAAGAGGCGGGCCATGCCAAAATCAGCAATCTTGGGGATCCATTTATCATCAAGTAGAATATTGCTGGCCTTGATGTCGCGATGTATAATACAATTATGCGAATCTTCATGAAGGTAAAGCAAGCCCCTTGCAATGCCACATATTATATCAAACCTCCGCTTCCAGTCAAGCTCCTTCCTTCCATTCGAATCTGTACAGAGACCGTAAAAATCGCTGTCAGTACATTATTTAAAAGTCTGTTGACAATCATTTAACCAAATTAAAACGAGGACAATACGCATCACATAATATATCTATTTTTGCCAATTAGGTGTTAAAGTCATGGGGGTTAACCAAATGGTGTAGATTGTTCTCCATCATGAGCTGGCAAGGTTGTGTCAACAACTCAGAAACTTCTGTTCGTTGCTTGGCTGAAAGAATGTCGATAAGGTGAAGGTCTTAAGATCCACCTCCTTCACAAGTTTTAAATCAAAACTTGAAAACTATGCTTATGATGTCATAATTAACAGGTGTCAAAGTACCTATCAAAGATGTTACTGTAATTGCCTACAGCTAATATAGAAAGAAATTGTGGTCAACAAGTACTTTTAAGAATCAACGAATAAATTAGGATTCAAAGAGCCTTCAAGTTTGACTAAATTTCGGATACAATTCTGGCAAACATATCAGGAAATATGATGGAGTTGGGGGGTAGAGTATGTATGATCTTCAGAACTAAAGCGAATTGATCCAAAATCAAGAAATCTGTACAACTTAAGTTTCTGCTAAATTCACCTAACCAGCGTTTAAGATCAAAATATGGAGTGAGGAAAATGAGGAAAATCTTAGTAGATATGATACTGCAAAAGACTCGTATAGAATCAAATATCAAATATCAAATTATTTGTGCTGATCTATAAACAAAACACCGAACATGGTTGCATTATCTATTGTGCAGGATGCAGTTGCCAAATAATAATCTGATCGTAAAGTGTAGAAGGATTAACGAGTGCTTACTGAAGAGAAGCTTGTCGAGGCTCTCATTTGAGACATACTCATAAACGAGTAGTTTCTCTACCCCGTGTGCACAATAGCCCAACAAATTCACAACATTACGGTGCTGCACACGAGCTAGCAACTTGGCCTCGTTCAAGAACTCTCTCTTTCCTTGATTTGAACTCCCTGACAACTTCTTCACTGCAATTTCTCTCCCATCCTCCAACCTCCCCTGAGAAAGACGCACCACACAAGTTTTAAGACACATTAACAGCCCCGTTTACTTTGTCTCTTGGGAATTTAAGGATCTAGTCAACAAGGCAAAAACTCGGTGGTATGTCAGGTCGCAAGATACATATGTAATCAGGGAGACAAATGTGCTTAAAGTTTATAGTTTAGCAAGATACCTAGTTTAGAACATTACATAAACACTACATTGGCAGTGAAGTCATTTGCGACTTCACCTTTGGTGTAACTTCCTAATGAAGCAAAAGACATACACGTTCAAGACACGTGAGAATCAGGATAACATTCTTCCGTTATATTGTTAACATAATCCTTCAATCTCCGTAGAAATGCACTAAATCCTTAACACCCAAGAAAGCTGCGGATTAGAAGAAAGTAGCAGGTGGTGGTGGTGCATACAAGTGCATGATTAAGTCGATAACTAATCTAAGTTTGTGTTTCTTATTAACTAATAACCATCATCATTATCTAATTAAGCTAAGGAACAATCTTCTACACACTACTTGCAACAATTCTGACATTTTACAAAACAATTTGTTTCACTAAATGCCAACAAAAATATAAATAAATAAAAAGATAATAATTTACTTCACTAAATAATTCGTATCATTAACTATGAAATTATAAAATAACTAGAGAGACGAATTTGAGAAACAAGTTCAGCAGAAAGAAAAAAAATGTGAGCTTGAAAAAACTTTTTTTCCCAAAAATTTCTCAGCAACCAAACAGATTAGTCAAACGAAAACATTAGCAGATCTACCTTATAAACGGGTCCGAAACCGCCTTGTCCGAGCTTATGAGTGGAGTGGAAATTCCTCGTGGCAGCAACCAAAGTTTCGAAAGGAAAAACCTTCTGTTCCTGCTGAGCAATCTTCTCCAAGTCCTCTTCGTTCCGTCCGTCTGATCAAATAAAAACAGAGCAAAAAACACACAAAAACATAAATCATCTGATACAAGCACAAAACGAATGAATTTCACGAAATTGCAAACTGGGTTTTTGAAATGAACGAAATTGAAAAATGGGTTTCTGAAATTCACGAAATTGCGAACTGGGTATCGATTTTCACCTCTTCTGGAGCCGAACCCACAAGTTTTCATAAGATTGTTGAAGAAATTCCTGGACTTGGTCATGGTTTTCTGAGACTTTTAGAACAGCCCACACCCCATAAATGAACACAGAAGAAGAAGAAGAAGAAGAAGAAGAGCAGGTGGGGCTTGTGGAATTTCGTTTTCTGCGAATTAGAAATCATGAACCGTGGGATTTGGAGGTGTTGGAGAAAATGATTAATTGTGTGGATTTTTATGAATCCTGTGGGAATGAAACAGAGAGAGTTTGCGGAGAACGGAACGTGTTGACTTAGATAACCCCACGTGTTGACTTGTTGTAGATTAAGGAGTGCAGTCAAATTTAAATTTGAATTTGAGAGGATTTTAGAAGATTTTAAAATTTAGTTCGTGTCAATTAAAAGATTTTAAAGGATTTTATGATTCATTCAAATCTAAGTGTATTAAAAAAATTAAGATTTTAGAGAATTTTAATAAATTGTAGATTTTGTGGGATTTGAGAGCTCAAAGTATATATAATCAAGACTAAAAAGAATCCAATCTCACCCTAGGATTTCAAATCCTTCCACCAATCCATTCAAATTCTTTTAAAATCCATATGAATTTTGTAGGAGTCTTTAATCCTCTTAAATCCTATAAAATCTATCACTTTTAAAATCCTTTAAATCTCAGTTTGCCTACAACCTCCTAAATAATATTATTTTATTTTTTTTAAGGAAAGGGAAGAAGTCAAGAACGCATGTCCTCCAGAATTAAATAAGGGAACGACTCCTTCATCCATGTGACGGAAGCAGTGAACTGGGAAATGACCAATTTTTGCCTCAAGGGTAAGGGCAGTAAAAGATTAAATTTAGAAAATAAAAGATTTAAAAAATTATTGTTAATTTCACCGCAGTTGATCTAACAATATAAAAACAAAAACAAAAAAAACCCAAAATACTATCAGAACCGTTGATTTCCCATCCCTTGAGTGTCCCATCATGTGGAGAGATTTTTCAGTGTGACCGGTACATGGGGTGGTACACCACGTGTTACTAAATAAATAGTGGGATATGTGTGCTAAAAAGTTAATAATTTAAAAAATAAAATTTACCACCATTCCTATTAAATCACGTGGTGTACCATTTGTGTTCCCGTCACAACTAAAAATTTCTCCATCATGTGCTCGAACTCCACAAACTCAAAATGAACATGGCCCTCACCCCATTTGAGAGTCCTGACGTAGTCCTCAATCATGAGGAAATTCAGTCCCTTTACAATAGGGATTGGAATTCTAGCCTATTGGAAGCCACCGAGTCATTAGACTTAGGAGTGGTTTGGGAGTGAGGTGCTTAAAAAAAAAACACTCATGAAAAAAAGCTGTGAGGGTTTTAGGTGTTGGTAAACTGAAAAAAAAAGGGCTTATTTTGGAAGCTGCTGTGAGAATAAGCTGAAATCAAAGGAGAAAGCTGAAGCTGCTATTTGTAGCTTTGGAAAACTGGTTTTTTTTCAAAGCACACGGAGCTACAGTGCTCCTTTAATGAAAAGACCCACTATCAGACTGCTTTTTTTTCCAAAAGCACTTTTACAAAAAAGTTTACCAAACACTCTGCTGATTTATTTCACAGCCGCTTATTCTCACAGCAGCTTTTTTTCAAAGCACAGCAATACCAAACCAGTCCTTAAAGATGTGCGGTGGTGAGAACATGTACAAATATAGAAGATGCTCTAAATAACTACACAATTGACAATTAAAAAGTAACTGCATAATTTCACCATTTGAAATGTCCGATTACGTTATCTATAGGGCATTTTTTTTCATAAGATCACATATATTTTGATGTCATTTTGATGTTAACTCTTAGTCTTAACCTAACAGCCTTGCTGAAATTTTCATTGGTCTGAAAACAAAGTAGGTCGGTCCCAAATGGCATTTTCCCCTCCTTGAAAATTCCTTATTTTGTTATAAGTTTCTCTACAGATTTGGTTATTGCCGCCTTCCCTTTTACTTCTTTCAATTTCAGTTGTGTTTTGCTTCGAGTTTGTTGTTGCTCACCCCTAACTCAAAGTAATCGTTACCTTAAGTTAGTCAATTGAAAATTGAACTAACTTTTTGCTTTGCTTGTGTCACATTAATATTTTAAACATTTCAAAATCCCTTGTTTGGTATGTGTTAGCGGTGCTTAAGAGATAATGGAGTTGATCGTAATTGAGAGTAAATTTGAAGTTAGGGTTATATGATTGTGAGTTTTGACTAGAAATCCTTAATAAATCATTGTGAGTTTTGACTAGAAATCCTTAATAAATCAAATCAACTTTCCTAGGAACATCCATGTACGTGTACTTAAAATTGCAGACAGTTCAACAATGATATAATGTATAAAATACTTTGAATCTTTGGATTGCTAAAAATGGCTTAACGTTTGATCGTGAATGCGTTTGGTTTCTCCATCATAATTTTACGAATTTATCGATAAAATATATTTAGTTATGCAAGCATGTATTATTTTTTCTCTGATCAGGTTGAAAATTTCAGTAAGGTTTTAATAAGGCCACATTGCATACTTATCTTGTTGTATAATTTCAACCATCCACACAAACATTTTTACTTCTTACATACCCCTTTCAATTTTCGGTCGTCGAATTGATGAATTGAAGAAGATCAATAACAAAAATTAATAAAGATGTGTATGAGGTAAATATTAGTATGTGAACAACACTACTCAAGAAAAATGAGTTACTTTTGCACACATATCAAATTGTTATTTACAAATTGTAAGTAAGCAAGGAAAATGACTTCTTACACTTATTAATGCTTTTTTTTTTGGGCTTTATGGTCCCAAGATCAAGACTAAGTAATGGGCTGGAGTGTGTACAGGATCGTGTGTGAATAGGACATTGTGATTCATAAGTCCGTGGATTATGACGTCTCATGTGGTGGTATTTATTTATTTATTTTTGGGTGATCAATCGTTAAATTTGTTAGACTAAATGTTAGATTAGAGAGTTGATGGAGTTTGAACTCACACAGTGATGCAAGGACAACACTCATCTCCACCGTTGTGATAAAGGGTCACTTGCCAAGTGGTGGTAATGTTTATCATTTTGTTTGTTGTCGTTTAATGAGTTTAAATTATGAGATTTGTGTTTATTCACTAAACACATCTCGATATTTAAACTTATCTAACGCTGATAAATAGGATAGTGAGTATCACCATCACTTGAAGGTGGTGAACACATATATTCCCATATTAATTACTTTCAAAGTACAAGATTAAACTAGTTTAATACTAAATTAATCGTTGAATATTGGTAGCCATGGATGTGATGATATGCCATTGTTGGGTGGCTGAGAAGATATCATCTTTCTCCTGAAACAGAAGGATGATGTTTTTCGGTCATAGATGTGAAATCATGATTACAACATGCCCTGACCTAATAGCACCGCCGAAAGTCAAGACTCAAAACCACATGTCCGTACAATTACGGCAAGCTCAAATAAGCATCTTCCACACCATAAAATGTGAACACAATTTTATAAGGAAAAGAAAGGCTGTGCAAATATCCAAATTTAATAAGGATTTTCACGGTCCTGTAGCTATATTCTAATCGCGCGTTGTTATGTGTTTTAATTTTTTTACTTGCTATTACATGATTGATTGAGATATTGTCACAATGACGTACTGGTGGCATGAATTATTATTATTATTTTTTTGATAAACTGAGGGGGAGGGGCTGAACGCCGCAAAAACATTAAACTATCTGAAAAGTACAAACTAGACGATTCTTAGCAACCTTAAAATATCATCCAACAAAAGATCACCAATCAAATAAGAGGTTCTTCAAGAAAACAAAACCCCAGATCAAGGTTGTAACTCCGATGAAACTGGCATGGATGTCAGTCTTTTGTGATGCAGAACATGTTCATTTGGATCTATATGCTCTCTTCTTCTAGCCAACCCTAACAAATCTAACAAAAACTCGGCAGTCGAGCAGCAAACTACACACAATGTTATTCCTCACTGAGTATGAATGCAGCTTAATTGGGAACCAAATCACATATATTTAGTTTATGATTTAGTTAAACACCCCTTAATTATGCCTCTGTCCAAAAATAGTATTAGCTGTGATTAGACGACCGACTTTTGTCCTTAGCAATTATCTTGTTGTATTGGTTTCTATATGCCAACCAACCAGTTTTATATCAAAGAAACATCCATGTGATATTGAAAGCGATGTTTCTTCACATTTTCAAATTACAAACGATATTTTATCTTAAACTAATTTAAACAGCAAGGAAGGAACGAATTAAGCGCCCGTGAAAAAGCACATCCGGTCTAGCTAGTATAAACAAACACTCACTTTTATATACTTACAGATGGATACATATAGTATACAAGTAGTAACTCAACTTTGACCCTCAAATAACAATAAACAAATCCCATATGATCAAATGATGCAAACTAAAGATGGTGACAGAGAAAAAGGGGGATTGGAAATCCCCCCCTACATTTTCCTTCACTTTCTTTTCCTTTCCTCCAAACAAAACTTAAGAAAAAGAGTGTCCTAGTTCTGACTGTCTAATAAACTAATGACGCTATGTACCTGGCACTGGAATATCTTTGTTGGGTCTCGATCGCCAGCTTTGCAAGCCAGGCCTTTTCTCCTCACAACATACATTTTGACAGGGTGGCTTCTCCACCTCACTATCCTAATCTACACACTCCAGAAAAACTTGGTAGGGACGCCTGATGAGGTCATTTGTAGGGCACTTCTCACGTAAGAACGAGACCCCTGTATGACTCGCCCCATGCGAGGGCTGCTCTAATAAGCATTCCTAACCGAAGTTTCTCTCCTACGCACATACGCTTCTCATCCCCCTCTTTCCTTCAAAGGTGTTTGATATAAGCGCAGCCCACAAAAATTTGGACTTTCACCAAAAAAACAGAAGAAAAAAAATGGTAAACTAGAATTTGTAGTCCACCATGATGACCAGGAAGAGCCTCCCTCTCCATCCAGGGAATCCCCCCACTTGACATTGTTCAAACTGCATAATTGTGTTTAATGTTCCGCTTATATTCGCAGCTGTTTTACCTGAATGCAGCAAAATCTGCAGTAACAAAAGCCCGCAAAATTAACAAAAAAAAAAAAAAAAAAAAAGGCGTAATTCCAATGCAGTTGAAAGTATCACAGTTTGGAGTTGAAAGGCTTATGATTTTACCCATGAACTCTTTATAGATCGCTGTCCCCCATGGTCCTCAGACGGAGTTCTACACTTCGCAGGTCGCGAAGATGTTCCAAAATTTCTTGGAGGAGAAGTAATCCCTTATCTCCTTTCCTCAAGGAGGAAATGCAGTGCTTTAGAAACTCCCTATCTGCTTCAAGTGCTTGTAGTCTCTCGTACACATGATCAACCTCCTCTTCAATAGCAAGTTTCTTGCTCTCAGAGTCTTGCGACGTAAAAGAATCATACCCTTCTGTGTTTCCATTCAATTCCCCGTCTTCTGTTTTTGTTTCGATGGCATCAAATAACGGAAGAAGCCTCTTTGCCTTCAAGCCCTTGACAATTTTTCTATCTTGATGCGGGAAATTTCCATTCATTTCTTTGGAATGGCCATTTGCAATGCCATTGCCATTTATTTCACTACTAACATCCGAACTTTCATGGTAACCATTTCCATTCTCCAAAAATAAATGCTCACTTGGTTTTATATCCCCGTCATATTCTTCTTCCTCTTCGTTGTTCAAGGTCAAAAGCTTCTCTTCCAACTCCTTGAGCTGGTCTAGAATGGACAACTTCTCTTCCTCAAAGCTAGCCAAAGATTCCTCTAGATACAGCACTGCATCCACCGGGGTGTTTTGGTTGCTACTTTCCTCATGGCCATATAAGCAATCTTCTTCCTTCGATTCGTTATTCAAATCAGTAGAGAGTCCATCGCTATCCTCACCATTGCTACAAGCACCGGATGAAGTCCTACTCTTCGTGCTTCCATCTTTCATTCTCCTCAAAATCATCATTTTCTCTTTGACCTCATAATCCTGCAGTTTCTTTCGACATATTTCCAGCTCCTTTTCGAGCTCTTGCTTTTCCTTTTCCCGCTTCACCATAAGCTCATTCAAGAGTTGCATCGCTTCCTGGTCGTACTCAGACTGCTCTTCCATCATTCTCTGGTACTGCAAAGCTTCCATCTGCATTGCTGCTTTTTCTTCTTGTAGCCTATTTATCATCGCCATTGTCTGGCTGGCTGCCACCGCAGAAGCGCTCCTCTCTTCCTCGAGTTCTGCATATAATTCGTTCAAAGCCTTCCGTTCAGCTCTCAGCGCTGTCTTCAATTTCTCAACTGTCACGACTCCATCACCGCCTTCAGTGTCACTCATGACACTTCCATCCAATGAGTCATCTGTTACCAGTTCTCGTCTCTCGAATAGTAGCATTCCCTTACGAAACTGATGGAGACTGTCTATTGAAGTAGGTGTGTCAAGACCATTATCTACCTCAAGTGAGAAATGATTATCTTTTTCGTTCTCACTCGTTTCAACCGACAAGGTTTTGAATTCAAGTAATTCTTCCTCTGCTTGCTCAGAACCTAACAATGTAACAAATTAAAGTACTTTCAGACACAGTTAAGATTGCGAAACTGCGAACGTGGTTAGGACAAAAGTTGAGGCTTACCATGATGATCGCAATCATGTAGATTGGCAGAACTTGTAGAAGGGTCTTCCTGCTCACACGCATACGAATACAAAAGTTCTTGAGCTGATTGAACTTCGTCATTCTCTTCCTGATCAGGAATCTCTGTCCCTATTGATACCTCTGCATCAGTCTCATCGTTGTGCGAAAGATCCGAATGCAGAAGTCCTTGAGCTGATTGAACTTCGTCAGTCGGTTCCTGATCAGGAATCTCTGTCCCAATTGAGACCTCTGCATCAATCTCGTCGTCGCCCGAAAGGACATCGTCCTCAAATTCTGCACACATTGAATGACAACACCGAGAATTTGAATTTTCTCATCCAAAGAAAACAAAACAAACAGTGTCTATAAGTCATAAGTGAGTCAAATTAAACATGGGTACCTTGATGAACATCTGAAACAATTTCACCATTTGCTATAGCTCCAACTTGTTCATTTTCCTCCTTTGCGCTCTCAGTTTCGCCCGGACCCTTCGAATCAATACCCGAAACCCTACTTTCCTCCTTACTCTCATCGAACGAAAGCAATGCCTCAGTCTTTTCTGGACCGCGCCAACTCTCCACAACCGGTTTCGCTTCTTGCCTCTCGAAACCAATGTCGAAATCCAGTATAACATCTTCACAACCACTACTATTTCCTTGGTCTTCTTCCACCTTATTGTACTTCTGTTTACTCTGGTTTCCAATGGTGGTTGGAGAATCAATCAAATCAACCAGAACCAACCCACTATCGTCCTGATCAATGTAGAACTCCAAATCCTGAGGTCGAATTTTCGGAGATACAATATATTTCGTGGGCTCTTGTTCTTCTTCTATGACTCTTTCCACTTCTTCATCTCCATTGGCTGCAATCTCCTTCTCCTTGCAGCCATAGTCACATACAGAACAAGCAGCAGAACGATCCTCTGCTTCAAAACCCCTATTTTCTCCCTTCTGTTCTTCAACTCCCTCTTCGTTTCCGATCTCGAAATCCGATCCGCTTCGATCCGACCGATCACCTTCTTCCGTATGATGATCATCCCCTGTTTCCAAACTCAAATTCTGTTTCTGGGCATAATCCAAAACCTCCCAAGAGGGTTTAATCACAATACAAGAAGGGTAAAACTTGTTCAAGCTCAATCCGCAGCAAGAACAGTTCAACCTGTCCTCTCCATTTTCAGTGACTTTCTCGTTGCCGTCTCGAATCATCCCAATTTGCTTCATCCATGGAAAAAAAGCAAACTTCTTTGACCATTCTTCGCAATCCGGCTTCGACGAGCAGTCCTCGCACATATCTTGCGATTCTGCTAGTTTCTGGTGATTTGAGCAGTAACCCAATTGGGATATTTCGTTGGCATGAGATTCGCAGACAAGATCTCTGTAAGAATTGTTGGTGTTTCTGGGCCCGAAGATATGATCGAGCCTAGTACACCAAAGGCAGGGTCTTTTGAGGCCAAAGTAATCGGAAAACTTTACGATCAGATAAGAAAATAGGGAATTGAGAAGGAGGAGGATGATCAGAATCCATTCGAGGAGTGCATAGATTAGAACGAGAGTGATCTTGTTGGTGTTTCTGTGCAGCATGGTTGCGCACTTGTTGGCAGCCATTGATGGTGCTCTGTTTTTGGTATATATACACAGAGAGAGAGAGAGAGAGAGAGAGAGAGAGAGAGTTGCAGATTATCAGAGAGAAATAGAAGTAAGGAATGGCGGTTTGAAATGGAATTTGGACAACAGGAGAAGACTCGGAGCTGAGAAACAAGGAAATATGTGATTGAGTCAAAGAAAATTAAAGAATGTTTTTCAATATCGTCTGTGATATATATATTTTTCTTTTGGAAAGAATTAAATTAACCATTGATGGACAAAAAAGAATGATCGACGTCACTAGATTGCTGTGGAAATGTAACATGGCTTCTACTTGGTATTAAAATATACGAAGTATTCTTTACTTATCATTAAATTGAATGTGACAAATCAAACCAACGAGTTGTTAATAAATATCCGTTAAGATCTATTTAATTTGATAACATCTTACACCATCATCACCACTATTAATTTCATTTCTATATTATGATAATATCAAATTGAACATGTTATTAAAGATACCAATTAACAACTCAATAAGTTAACTTATAACCTCGTGAAATTATGGATAAAATTACGTACGAATACAACGTTGCAATCCAGCCGGCCTTGACAGCTCCCACACCATTTTTTTCAATTTGGGCAACAAAAATGGGGGTGGCCCATCAAGCACACCATTGAGTTGGTGGACCACTCTCAAAGTAAAGTGTGGGTCACATTATTTGGATCCAGATGCTCCAATTCATAATGCAACTCTCATCTCTCATAAAAGCTTTTTCTCATAGATATTCCTCTTTAATTGTAAGTAAGAGATTTTAGATTTGATTCTCGCCAAAGGAAAATTTGAACCACATTATTGCTAGCCTATTTTGAGGTTAAACTCAACCCTCTTCCATTTTAATGTAGATAATATCGTTTGTTTAACCAAAAAAATAAAAAAACTCTTCTTCATTTTTATGTACGCATTTTTTAATTATTTCATTTACTGACCTTGCCTTTGATTTATTTTATTCAAGTACTAAAATTATATAAAAAGAGTAGAGAGGAAAAATGAGAGTAAAATCACTTTCATGTAATATTTTTAATTAACTACTTGCCTTAGAAGTTGTCACTGCTTTTCAATTCTGCCCCCACCCTTTTCATTTTTTCCTAAGCTAGCTGATATTCTTATTTGAGAGTGTTATTTTCAATATTCTGCTCTTGATGTTTCTTTTGAAGAATTGTTTAGGGTTTTAGAGGTAGGTTCAACATTCGAATTTTGGGGGTCTTAGTATTAAAGCACATGTTTTTTTTAGATAAAAACAAAGCATGAAGAGCGCAATAGTTTCAGTTTATTCACCAAGGCATTTCATCAAACACTTGGTGAGCTTGTTGTCGTCAGTCAAACTATGTTGTGCACATATCAATAAATATTGACATATGCTAAAGCAATCTGACGAGTAATATCGATAGAATTTGTCGAGTGTTGTCACGCAACCTGTCAAGGTATGCCTAACAAACATTACATCAAACCCTTGGTATAGGCACAAAAAAATATCCGAACCAAGCATTTCAAGGGTCCTCGTGAGACCACCTTGGTCCCAATATACATCTGCCTCTATGTATAAAAGGAACCAGGCTTGTGACTGTAAACCCTTTCATAATGCTTTTGCTTGTCAAGTTTATATCATGACTTGTTATTTCTTAATGTACTGTTAGCACTAGTAGGATTTAGCCCACTCTATCTATGAAACCCAGCTTTCAAGCTAGATTAGGGTTTCTTTCTGTGTGAGTAGCCTTTGTACATTTCCAATGACCATATAAGGGTCGAATAGAGTATATGCAACTGAGTTAGTAGAATCTGATTCTTTGGGTTTCATATATTAGGGTTTGTGACATGTTGGAAGCCTACCATTTTTTTTCCAACTGAGTTTGCAGCTGAGTGATGGGGGTTGTTTTTGGGATGGCAACTTGTTTGGAGACTACGGGTAGATAAGTTACTGGTAGAATCTGATTTTTTCGCTCTGTATCGTCGGTGTTACAAGCTGTTGTTGAAACCACCCTTTGGGTTCTATTATTTTTGCTTGTCGAGAGTTTGCTTTCTAGATCTTTGGCAATACGAGCTATGACATGTCTACAAAGAAAAAATTTATGTGATTGGTTGGTTTAGCTAACTATAGTCTTGCTCTAGACCTAGGAAATCATCATTTTGATAATCCTCCTTATTTGAACAATTTTGTTCGTGGTGATTGGCTTGCGATGTCTAGGCCTAGAGTTATTTTTGCTTAGTTTGTTTAGGCTATAACTATAAGCCCCATTTTCAAAAATAAAAAAAAATAAAAACAAATAAAATTAAAGTAAAGCAAATTTTGGTTTCTTGGTAGAAATACTGTCACAATAGTCAAGCTTTGTTTCAAAAGTTGATTACAAGTGTCACTTTTCCTTTATTACAATCTTTAAACTTTAAATTTTTTGACCAAAAAGACAATTGAATCTAATTAATCCCGCAACTAGTAAACTACAACGTATACATTGTTAGCAGAAAAAAAAAATATAGAAAATTTGATGTACACCAAAAAAAATATTGTCGTAAATCTAAGATGTCTATGAGTAAGGTAATACAATTGACTACGTCTGCAATCATATGCGTGTGTTCTTCATTTTCTTTGTGTTTCAATAGGTAACTCCATTGATCTCTACATGCGAAAATTACATCTTTTAGTTTTTTGTTTTTATAAGTAAATTCCATTGATTTTTTTAATAAATGCATATTTAAACTGATACATATAGGGGATTTAAATTTGAATTTTTTTTAACAAGATTTAAATTTGAATTTTAATGAATTGGCTAGATAAAGGTCCAACGCTTTTGAAGCGGTGTCTCAAGCAATCGAACTTCAATACTAGCAGCAACAATGGAGATCAAACTCGTGGCAGGAGGTAAAAGCAAGAAGACGAAACGCACTGCGCCCAAGTCTGATGATATCTATCTCAAGCTTCTCGTCAAGCTATACCGTTTTCTTGTCCGGAGGACTAGAAGCAAGTTGAATGTGGTCATTCTTAAACGTTTGTTCATAAGAAAAGTCAACAAGGCACCCTTTCTCTCTCGAAGTTTATTAAGTATATGCAAGAAAAGAACAACAAGATTGTTGTGGTTATGGGGACTGTCACCGATGACATTAGGGTTTATGAAGTTCTGCAATTGAAGGTTACAACACTGAGGCTCACTGAGACTGCGACAGTAGGAGAGTGCTTGACATTTGATCAACTTGCTTTGAGAGCACCATTGGGTCAAAACGGAGTTCTCCTTAGATGTCCTAAGAATTCTCATGAAGCACTTCTATGTAAATGGCTTTGAATTTTGAGGGTATTTAGGTCTATTCATATGAGTTTTTTGATATATTTGAAAGTTTTTTTTATAAAAAGTGACATTTATGAATTTAGGTGTTAAATTTTGGTTATTAATGATAAATACCCTTAGCAAAATTTAGTTTAAAAATGCGCCTTTAAATTCAACGTGTAAAGAAAATAAATAAGCTCGGTCAAGATTTACACGGGTCTATATGAAATCATCAACAAGACAACAACCATATATAAAAGGAAAATGCACCTTTAAATACAGTACATAAATAAGCTCAAGATTTACAAGTAAGTTCATTCTTAATTTCTCAAACAAACAAAAAGATGTTAAATTCAATTTCCAAAATTACATCCAGCTAGAACATTGTTTTGATAAACGAAATACTAGTATGTAATATAATACATACATACATACATATATATATATATATGTGTGTGTGTGTATATATATATATTACATATGTGTGTGTGTGTATGTGTGCACGCCTAATAGCTAATTTTGAAATCGAACATTTCAAATTTGACGACTTAGCATCGATCCACATCGCTGTATATAAATTGATATAATTATGATTCATTCTAAATTTATTGGAATGTGGTGGACCCATCTTCCGCGTGAACTGCAAATCTCACACTCCGGACGGATCATCTTACACCATACAATCATACTGTGCGCCACGTTGACAATTAAGGGCTCCGATATCAATTGAATCCGAGACGAATCCTTATTATTCACCAAAAATTACCTCTTTCACAAAACCCAATTGTAGGACTGTTTTATAACATTAATAACCATTTGTCTTCAGATAAAATACAGGAAGGTAGAGTTAGCCCCTAGATGAATCTATATGCGTGCACCAACTGAGGATAGACTTCCTACATATGCAGCTTCCCTGCACAAGTAGAATGCTTGTCTGCTTCGTAGTTTCTGCGTTTTTATTGAGGGTAGGACTATAGAGTACACTAGACAAACTATAGAATCTGTAAGTGGTGATGATGGAGATGGACGCCTACGAGGCTCGCTCTAGCATTACACTCAAAGTGAATTCCCACACTATTCGCATTTAGTGAAAAGCGTAAAAACCCAAGTTTATCACAACGACAATGTTTGCGCACCTCATAGAGACACCTCGATCCATGTACATGATGCTAGTAAGTCTCCGTTTTATCGCCTCAAAACTTACGATGGGATTTTTAGTTGAGTAGTTTGCGGCAACAGTGGCTTGTACACTGCCGCACATAAGCCCCCGAGATAGCCGTTACTCCCATCTAACAGTTGTTTTATAGTCCGCAAGAGTTTGGCAAGGATCACCTACCAATCTCATGTGTTACAGACTCTCCACTCAGGCACTCACGGGTATACCCACCATATTGAACACACTAAAAAAATCTCTCCATAAGAGAAGCTGAATATTCACTCGTATACATTATGACCGACACACTCCGGAGTGAAAAGCGTATGACATTGCGACATAATGCCCTTTTCTCATAGTGACATCAGCGAGGTGTGTCATTATAAGCAATGGCTTCAAGTTGGCGCGACTCCCATTATGAGCATGCTCACCTAACCACCTCAACATATGGATTAAATGTAATGGTGTATGTGAGCTACCAATGTCGTATCTAAAAGCGATGAGTATTAAAAAGAGAGAAGCCATCACATTCAATAAGAACCGACTAATTAGTTACTCATAATACATATACGATGTACAGAATTCCCATTGGAATTACTTGTATGGCGCGGATTGAAATTCGCTGTCCTCAAGTTCCCTGCTATGAGATTGTACCATCCAGATTCAGCTCGTCTATAACTGAGTGTGATCCTCACGAGCCTCACCCTTACTAAAGTACATAGAGTGAGGAAT